AGAACAAAAAGCAACCAAGAAAATGGCTCACTTAAGAACAGGATCAGATACAGAAATATCAATAATTACATTGAATGTCAATGGATTAAATTCTCCAGTTAAGAGACATAGACTGGCTGAATGGATAAGATAACCTACAAGAAACTCACCTTATGTATAAAGACATACATAGACTAAAAGTGAAGGCTGGAAAAAGATATTCCATGCAAATGGAAATCAATAAAGGGCTGGAGTAGCGATATTAATCTCAGACAAAATGGATTTCAGGACAAATAATGTACGAAGAGACAAAGAAGGGCATTATATAATAGTAAGTGGGGTAATCCAGCAAGAAGACATAATGCTTATAAATATCTATGCACCTAACTCAGGTGCACCTAAATATGTGAAGGAAAGACTGTAGGAGCTAAAAGGAGAAATAGGGAGAAATACGATAATTGTTGGAGATCTCAACTCTCTATTATCTACTTTAGACAGATCTTCTAGGCAGAAAATAAATAGAGAGATACAAGATCTAAATGATACTATAAATTGAATGGGCTTGACAGATATCTATAGAACTTTCCACCCTACATCCACAACATATACATTTTTCTCACCCCGACATAGAACCTTTTCAAAGATTGACCATATGTTAGGACACAAATCAAGCCTTTACAGATTCAAAGGCATAGAAACTGTATCCAGCATCTTCTCCGACCATGATGGAATTAAACTCAAGATTAATTTCAAGAAACAACCCCCAAAATACACAAACACATGGAAACTGAACAACCCAATTCTGAATGATTTCTTCACTACTGAAGAAATTAAGTCTGAAATAAAAAAAAATTATGGAAACAAATGATAATGAGTACACAAGTGTCCATAATCTATGGGACATGGCAAAAGCAGTCATAAGAAGGAAATTCATAGCAATTAGTGCTCATAAGAAAAGGATGGAAAGATGGCAAATAGATAACCTATCATCATGCCTCAGGGAACTGAAAAAACAACAACAAACAAATCCCAAAAATGCCAGGTGAAAAGAAATAATAAAGGTTCGAGCAGAAATAAATGAAATAGAAAATAAACGAACCATACAAAAAATAAATGAAAGCAAAAACTGGTTCTCTGAAAAGGTTAACAAGATTGACACACTATTGGCTAGACTAATCAAGAAGAAGAAAGAAACCAGATTAATCAAATATGTGATGAAACAGGCAATACTACAACAGACATAGTAGAAATACAAAATATCATTAGAGGGTACTATGAGCGACTATATGCCAACAAACAAGATAACTTGGAGGAGATGGACAAATTCCTGGATGCATATAATTTACCAAGATTGAATCAAGAGGAAATAGAGAACCTGAATAGACCTATATATAACAAACCAGGAGATTGAATCAATAATAAATAACCTCCTGACAAAGAAAGGCCCAGGTCCAGATGGCTTCACTTCTGAATTCTACAAAACTTTTAAGGAAGAGTTAACCCCTATCCTACTAAAATTATTTTTAAAGATTCAAAAGGAAGGAAAACTTCCAAATTCATTTTGTGAAACCTTCATCATCCTCATCCCCAAAACAGATGAGGACATGACAAAAAACGAAAACTACAGACCAATATCATTGATGAATATAGATGCAAAAATTCTCAACAAGATACTTGCAAATCGTATCCGACAACATATAAGAAAGATTATTGATCACGACCAGGTAGGCTTTATCCCAGGGATGCATGGGTGGTTCAACATATGCAAGACCATAAATGTAATACACCACATTAACAAAAAGAAAGATAAAAACCATGTGATTATTTCAATTGATACAGAGAAAGCATTTGATAAAATACAACATCCTTTTATGATTTAGACCCTCCATAAAATTGGTATAGAAGGGTCATTTCTCATCACAATAAAAGCCATCTATGAAAAACCTACAGCTAACATTATACTGGGGAATGGGAAAAGCTAAAAGCTTTTCCACTAGAAACGGGTACTAGGCAAGGCTGCCCACTTTCTCCACTGCTCTTTAATATAGTACAGAGAAGAGAACAATATAAAGGTGTTCGAATAGGCAAAGAAGAGTTGGAAATATCTTTAGTCACAGATGACATGATGGTATACTTAGAAGACCCAAAGGTCTCCATGAAAAACTTTTTGAAGTAATAAGTGAATACAGTAAAGTGGCAGGATACAAAATCAACATCTAAATATCTTTTTATTTATATAGCATTTCTGTATATGAACAAGTTGAATGAAGTAGAGCTGGATAAAGGAATCCCTTTCACCATAGCCACAAGATGTACAAGATACCTAGGGATAAACCTAACTAAGAAAGTCAAAGACCTTTATAAATAAAACTATGAAAATCTTAAAAAAGATATTGGAAGGACATCCCACGTTCCTGGATTGGAAGAATTAACATAATCAAAATGGCAATTCTACCCAAATTAACCTACATGTTTAATGCAATTCCAATCAAAATACCAGGAGTATTCCTCGCAGATCTAGAAAAGACAATCATAGAATTTGTCTGGAATTATAAAAGACCTCATATTGCAAAAGCAATTCTGCCCAAGAAGAATGGAGTAGGAGGCATATCACTCTCTGATCCCAAGATAAACTATAAAACTGTGATAATCAAAACAGCATGGCATTGGTACAAAAACAGACATGTGGACCAATGGAATAGAATAGAGACCCCAGAAATAAACCCCAAAGCTTACAGCCAACTGATTTTTGACAAAGGATACCAGTCAATCCACTGGGAAAAGGAAAAGCTCTTTAGTAAATGGTGCTGGAAAAACTAGGTATCCACCTACAGGAAGATGAAACTGAACCCCATTTTTTACCATGAACAAAAATCAACTCAAAATGGATCAAAGATTTGAACCTAAGACCTTAAACAATGAAACAACTGGTGGAAAATGCAGGGGAAACTCTGGGAGACACTGGAGTAGGCAAAGACTTCTTAAAAAGACTCCCAAAGCACAGACAATAATCCCTACAATAGACAAGTGAGACTATATCAGACTAAGAAGTTTCTGCACAGCAAAGGACAAGGAAGACATACGAACAGCCAAAAAGCATATGAGGAAATGCTCAACATCCCTCATCATAAGGGAGATGCAGATAAAAACCACAATGAGATACCACCTAACCCCTGTCAGAATGGCAAAGATTAAGAATATAAAAAATGATAAATATTGGCAGGGACGTGGTGAAAAGGGAACTCTCCTACACTATTGGTGGGAGTAAACTGGTTCAGCCATTGTGGAGAACAAAATGAAGATCTACTACTAGAACTACCATTTGATTCAGCAATCCCATTTCTGGGTATCTACCCAAAGGAAGGGAGAACGCTCAGTCAGAAAAGGGCTTGCACATCAATGTTTATTGCAGCATTTTTCACGATTGCCAAGACATGGAACCAACCTAAATGTCCACAAACCGATGAATGGATTGGAAAAGTGTGGCTTATATACTCTATGGAATACTACTCAGCCATAAAAAATAACAAGACCCTGGCATTTGATAGAAAGTGGTCAGATATGGAGGATCTATTGCTGAGTGAAGTAAGCCAGGCTA